AACTCCATCTCCTCCCGACTTAATCCTCACGAGTCTCCTTTGCCAGGTCGAGTGCTTCTTCCTCAGCAGTTCTAGTCAAATTCAAGGTATGTGGTTATTTCTTTATCGATTCCGAGTCTTCTTGACGAGTTTTCCTTCAAAGGAATTGAAGAGCGCAATTGATTTGAAATGGGAGCCAAGTAGATTTTTCTATCTCATCATCTGCTAGGTCAAAACTCAGGAGTGACGACTGATTCAAAATGCGCCACACCTCTTCTCCTACTAAGGGTATGTTTGGGAGTTTGGAGGGAAGAGGAGGGGAAGGCTTTGGAGGTATGTTGTTGGTAGGGAAAGGGAGGGGAGGGTGAGGAAACATTTCTTTGTATTGGGGAGTAATAAAATTGGAAGAAAAGAGTTTTTGAAGGAATTATAATTAAATTCACTTTGAGATACGACGATTTCAAATCATTGAGCTTGTTGAGGTTAAGTCCCACAGATCCGAAAGCCCAACACACGCTTTGGATATTAAGGATATAGAAAATAATTCGAGGGTCTAAGAAAATATAAAAGGTGAATAATAATATGCTCAAAAGCCCACTTGTATTAAGCAATTCGCTGATTACATAGGAAACTTTCCGAACAGTACGTCAGAATAGTGATAATACAATAATAAGAATGAGAAAGCTACTCTAGGCCTTGAGTCTCAAAATGCTAACCCTTTACAATGAGATTTAAGCCCCAATTTATACTAATAAAATGGGATGGGGGTGATGACGTGGCTGAATCTGACTTGCTGCCGTTCTCGAGCCACTTGGATGCCCATACTCCCACTTGCTGACTTCATACCTTAGCATTAAATGTCCCTTGCCACTTGCAGGCTGCCCGTTCGGGGTTCAGAACGATGCCCATGCTGATATCATTTATCAATCTAATCCAAGTTACCTGCATTACCCGATCCCTGTTCGGGGCATAATCCTTCAGGGTTCACTGGATCCCGTTCGTTATGATTAGTTATTGGGCCTGTTTTTCATCTATATCCTTGCTAACTAATGGGCCTAATATATTGGGCTTTTGGCCCAATATCCCAACAGAGCTGATATTCATTTTTAATTTAGCTTAAATTATCATGTTGTTAATTATCCTGCAAAACCTTCCGAATTGGGAGAAGTTAAAAATTAAGCTAAATTAAAGGGTTTTGAAGGGTTACAAAAGTCCTCCAACACCATTCCCTCCGATTTTGGGTTATAAATCCCATTAACCTTGTAATCCCCTCAAAAAATCAAACTCCCAAACAAGCGTTCAATGACATGTCATCCTCAGGAAGCAATGAACATCATCGATCTCCAGCGAGGAGGCGCTCGGAAACTATATTAATGAACATTATGCTTGGTTGGGATTTAATTAGCTAGCTTCTCCAATATGTCAATCGTCACCACGCCCACCCAATTTAAGGTAAAGAATGTATTAGTTTTATTCAGTCTCAGATTCTATCTATGTTGCAAGTTTTTGGATTGTTCTAGTATTCAAAACCCTAATTTCTTCTTAAAACATTAAAATTGATGCCTAGTTGTTTGTGGAAAAGCCTATGAAAAGGAAAGGAAAAAAGTTCGCCCCTGCCATAGCTGACTGACAGACAGAGTCGGCGAGTCCTCTCCTTCTCCTTAGGATTCTCAGCCGATGAACGTAGACATTAGCTAGTGGGTACTCAATCTTTAGGTTGAAATCTCTTATCTTTAATTCCCTCCTTTATTTTCCCCTCTTATGTTTAACTTAAAAATGAGGTTATTTTGAAACGATAACTATTTTGTTTACATTATTATGGGGGTGTTTGGAACTGATTCTGCTTCTACTTCTTTTTTAAAGCAGAAGCAGAATAATCACTTTTCAGAAGCTGGTACCCCCCAGCTTCTAAAAAAACTAATTCTAGGAGTAAATTAGAGCACCAGAATCACTTCTGCATTTTCACTCAAACACTCCAACTTCTGCTTCTGCTCCCTGAAGGAGCAAAATCAGTTTTAAGAATCAGATCCAAACACCCCCTATACCTTAGCCTAAAACCTATTAACGAGAGCATCACCTCCAACTTTTAGCATAATTATGGTTACCGCTGAAACTTTAGCTGCTACATACAAATTTTCTTGTTGTTTAAGAAAATGTGTGTGTTCTGAAACAAAGAAAAAACTGTAATTGGTCTAGAACAGTGGTCTCCCATGGATACAAATAGTGCTTTCTTGATATGTTAAGGATATGTTAAAGCCACAGTGCCTCACTTATTAAAAATTATACTTATCCGCATTTTACTTTCTTTGTCTTCATGTGAAGAATATTCTTTTAAGTTTCTTTCAATTAGTTTCTACACGGAGAAGAAACTAGCTTCTGTTTTCATCATTTTTGATTTTTTGAACTAAATTCTGCATTTTGCATTCTTTGTTAAGTCACAAATTACTTTCGATAATTGTTTTTTTCTTTTTGTGTGAGGTGAAGACTTGAGTACTTGCAACTACTTGAGTACCCCCTTTAATTTAATTCTTAATTTTTAAATTGAAAACTATTATATGCTTGGATATGCTTTTTTATGCCATAGAAAATGTCATAAGCGTAAAAAAGTATTGTGAGGAAGCAATTATATATTTTGTTGTGCTTCAGATACTTAGCAGACATGATGAAGTGGCATTCTGTAAGTGTATATGAGTTTCACATATTTTCTTGGGTTTTCATTCATTTTTTTTATTAAAAGAGTCCATTATTTGCAGGTGTGTTCAACTGTGGTCTTGTGGAACTAGTTTGATTCCTATAATCATATATATTTAGTAAGTATGATTGTAATTCATGGTATCCTCATTGTCCTTATATTGGCAGGTGTGTTCAGATTTTGCCAGTTTAACTCACTTTTTCAGTTTGGGATGAACTAAGATAGAGTTGATTAAGTCTTGATTAATTGTGTGTTCTCCTTATATTTCAGGGACTTCCACTTGAATCACAATCATCTAAGCATTTTATTTAATTTTTTAGTGACAGACTGACATGACAGGAAGGATCTCCGCTTCATATTCATTTCCACAGAAATATTCAAATTGTTGGCAGCAGCAAGTACATTGTATTTGGTGGTCTCATTTTCATTTTTGGACATTATCTATGAGTATAAATCTTGTTTATACTCTTGTTTATGTATATTGTTTATTTAGTGACAGCCTTTTAAGTATGTGCATTTTTCATTTAATGGTAAGTGATGAATATTTGACATAATACTCTTGTTTATATCAGAAGAAGACATGTCCTAGGTTTTAAAGCATCCAGAGTTGATAAATTGACATTTTCCAGGCGGAAGGTGATCGGGGCAGACAGAGAGTGAGGCGAACTGAGAGCGAGGTGGGGGGGGGGGGGGGGGGGGGCGAACGATGATCGATCGAGGCGGACAGTGACCGAGGTGGACATCTGATAGTCTGATATCCGACTGGGCGATGGGATGTTGGTCTCGGATAGCGTCTCCGCAAGTCAGGGGATGAGAGGCTTTAGTGTTGGCTTATTCATTTGCCTATTAATGTAAGTTTCATGTCAATGGTTTTGTTCTTTAGCTTCATATGCATAAGGGAAAACTATCAGATAGGCCCTCCTACTATACCAAAAAAAACGATTAAGCCCTCGTACCATAATATCACCCAATTGAACACCTCAACTTTCTTTAAACGCCCAATTTGAATTATTAGCCGGTAAGATACCGGCTACCTGAAAAAATGCCCCCCTGGCTTCCTACGTGTCGCAAGCAATCCTCTTTGGCTTCCTCTAAATATCCCCGTCACTAATAAACCTTTGTTCGCTATCCTCTCTCTCAGATGCAGCTAAACTCCAGAGCATTTATACCCTAGGACGTCGATTGTTCATCTCCAGAAGGCTCGGATGAGACGACAGTGAGCAATCGATAGAGAGCAAAGGATTAAGTTCCGTACATGTGAGGATGTCTGCTACTTCGATATCAACACCCCAAAAAGGAGGTAGCCGCACTCTTCATTATGAGCCTCCGTTATACTGTAGTTGTGGTCAAAAGGCACCTCTACGTGTTGCAAGAGAAAGTGGGAGGGCCTTTTATGGTTGTCAAAAATGGAAGGTAAAATTCAAATTATGTTAAATGTAATCTGATTGTGATTCTCCCTGAGATTGATGCGGGTTTTACACTTTCATCCAATTGATAGGCAGGCGGTGTTAGCGGGTGTGGTTTTTTGAGTGGAAAGACATTATTGAAGAAGGGTTTGGGACTGACCACCAAAAGAGGAGTGAAAAAACAGAGGAAAGAATTGATAAAGTGCAGCAGGTGTTGGCTGGACATGGTGAGCAGTTGAAACACATGATGAAATTGATGCACAGTGAAATGGAAGCCAACAAGAGGTTCAGAAAACTGAATGGATGTGCTTGGATGCTCTTGTTTTGTATAGTAGCTATGGTGTATTTTCAACTAAGGAAGAGTGATTTGTACTTTTCGGTTATGTTTGAGTGAGGGATGTGCTTGTAATTTGTGTTGTTGGTAGGGAAACATTTGCCATTCATACGTCGTTGTTGATTGGTATTCATCAATTGTTGTAAGGGATATGTGTTTTGTAATTTACTAGTTGAAACACATGTTTTGCAACTATGGTAATGTTGTTTTAGTGTTCTGTTTAATAGGCAACTGCGGTTTAATGTTCAATTTATACCAGCTGCAAATATTTACCAATTCATCTAGTAATCATTTTCAATATGTGCACCAATGTCCATCTATTAATCACTTTCAATAATTCTGCATCAATCCATACCAAAAGGTACTGTAATACTTGGCAATTATAACAAAAACCAGGTCCAATAATTAACAAAAACGACTTGCAACCATTCCAATGAAAATATGCTACAACACTAAGCAATAAAAAACATGAACTACAAAAACAGAACATAAACACTTATGTTAAACTCATAAATGTTAACCATAATCGGCTAATGTTAATGTACTAAAACAGAAGTAGAGCCCACTACAAAACATCACAAAAAAGCATGCCATATTTGACCTCCACTACGACAAAATACCGGAGGCTCGTCAGGTTTTAAATTAAGAGTTTATAGTAAAGCTTCCATATTACATGAACAAAAAAACACCTTCCAAGCGTTCATTACTAAGTCTAAATCAATACTAAACATCATGGAGTGCAATTCCTTCACTTTCATCAGCTTGTGCCCCCATTATTGACCTCCGGCTCACCTCGCTTACCACCAGCTCTCCCTCTTCCTTTGCCTCTAGTAGCAGCAGCACGTGTGGAAGTAGAAGTGGTAGGGCAAGTTGATCTATTATGGCCTTCTTTCTTGCATATTGTGCAAGTCATTATTCTCCCCTTTCTTGACAGTTGTGTTCCCGAGGAGTGATGTTCAGACTCTTCCCTCACTCTCTTTTTCTTTGGTCGTCCAGTCATTTTTTTGACAATGGAGGTAAGATCTCATCACCTTCAGTTCTTGGTCATAGCAGGTCACCATTAATAGGTCTAAAGTGTATGAATATGTGCGTTTATACATATCCTTGGAGTAGCATGTGTGGATAAAGTCTTCAGGATCCAATCCTTTGTTAAAGATGGTACAAATTGCATGTGCAGATGGGATTCCAGAGAGATCCCATCTTCTACATGAACATGACCTACCACTAAGGCTTACCTTGAACTGCTGCCTCCCTTTCTTGATCTCATATCCATCATCACCATTAAAATCCACATGCCAACCTTGACTAGCAAGAATGTTCTTATTCGGCTTCTTTGCAATCAATGGTCCACAAATTCCTACCAAATATTCAAACATATTTTTGCTTAGATATATATCAATCACATAACACATATGGATTCGTACATAACTTAACCATTTTATAATAACAAATGTACCTGACCACTTAAGCACTCCATTCCTCTTCTTACCAATCCTCCTCATCATCGCAACCCGGATGTCTTCCAACATGGGTATGAGTAGCTTTTCCCTGCACTTCAATAAAGTGCTATTGAAGGCCTCAGACAGATTATTCTCAACTGTGTCACACTTCACATCTGTCCGGAAATAAGCCTTACATCACAATTTAAAAGGGTACTTTTCCAGGTCTTGAGCAGCTTCTAGGTCAAGCTTGCGTAGGTCATCTAGTGTGCGGTGTAATAGAGGTTCATTTGGAGATTTAGCACATGCCCAAAAATGTCTCCTAAGCACCACTCCACCATGCTTTTTGCTCCAATTTGCATGGATATGTCTAGCACATTTTCTGTGCTCTGCTCCACTGAACACATGAGATATGACATTGGACAAACCCTACAAGGAAATTATTCAAATTAGTGAACTGAAATTTAAGTGAAGCAAAATTATATAATACATAACCAATTTACTGTAAGTGTAAATATACAGATGACATACCTTTTGTTGATCAGAAATTAGTGTCCAAGACTCGGCTGTGGTAATCTCCAAGTCTTTCTTAAGAAGCTCCAGGAACCAGGTCCATGATGAACTATTTTCAATTTCAACCACAACCCATGCTATTGGGTACATTTGGTTATTAGCGTCTCTTCCCACTGCAGTTAATATCTCACCCTTCAATTGGACCTTGAGAAAACAACCATCTAAACCTATCACTTTTCTACAACCATCAAGAAACCCTCTCTTCACTGGACCAAAACAAATATAAATCCTTTGAAATACGGGAGGAGCATCAGGGACCACTCTCACGGTGTGGATGACAACAGTGTTGTTGGGAAACGAGTTGAGGCACTCCTGAGCATAATCCCCCAGTTTCTTGAATTGATCTTTAAAGGCAGTTTCTGTCTTCACCTTAATTTCTTTCAGAGCTCTAGTCACCATACTTATAGACACATTGATCTTTAGGTCTGCTTTGATGAGGTTTTTCAATTCTGTTGCACCTATAGAAGGGTTCTCTAATACATTTTCCTCATACCTATCCGCAATCCAATTTTGACTTACAATCCTCAACTTAAATTTTGTATTACACAAATGTATTGGATTCAGCACCTTTACTTGGAAACAACGCAACCTGTGTTCCCAACTGGCCATGCAGGTAAATGGGCAATTTTTAGCACATTTGACCCTTACCCTCATTGGCTCATTTTTTTTTTTGAAATAAACATCTTTCTTTTCATGGCAGGCATATCTGATAATAGCATTTTTAAATTGTCTACCATCTTCAAATAACATTGCTAACTCGATTAAAGGCGGCTCAGACTCTGGATTATATGAGGAATGTAAAACACTCTTTTTATAACCATTACCCCCATCTGATTCAGCCTCTGAATCCATATAGTGTTCACTTTCACCGTCCTCACTTCCATCTTGTTCTGATTCATTCACTTGAGGCATTTCTTGATCATTTTCATCACGAAGGTCACACAATTCTTCTTCATTCCCATTCTGTTCACCTTCAGCACAATCTACGTCAACTGCCTTCCTACTCTCTGCATGTGTGGCTGGTGTTTCATCTTGAGGGTGTGGCTCAAATGGCTCATTAGGGACAAGGAGTAGGTCAACTAATTCAACCTCGTCCAAGTCATGCTCAACAAAGACTTCAATTTTACCGCAATGACTGGCCAAATGTATTAAGTGCAATGTGGTCTTGTCGTCAAACAATTCATACAGTTCCCCCATTGGATCGTGCGGTCTTTTGAAGTACAACCCTTGTATATTTCCATACCTTCCTGAGCGCAAACACTTCATAAGGTGTGGGTAACAAATCAAGTCTGGATCTATCTCTACACAATCAACCCCACCACCTTTATACATGGTTTTTGGGCGCTGAACAAATGTCCCTCCATGATGAATAATAAGTTGAACTTTATCAAACATCCTGAAATCTTGAAACAAGCAATAAAAACGATGAAAATGATATACTTGCTTGAATGCAGAGTATCTACTATACTTTTGAAAAACGTATGAAAACTACACTTTATTGCTTGGGATGGCATAGTTTAAATACAATACACAGCAGCTGAAATTCATATAAAAGAAAATCTCTAAAAGTAGGAAGTAATTAGACCAATCAAGTTGAAGCACAACAATCAACAATACCTATACTCTTCTACTCCCACGAAATCTAAAATATATAAGCGAACCCTAGAAACAATATAATTTCACTCGTAGTGGCAATAAGAATGAAGTTTGTATATCAAAACCTCGTATTTCAGGAAGGAATACAATTACACATTCAATGAAACCATTCAATGACAAACACATGAAGAACCAGGGATTACGTTCAATGAACACCGGATTACCTGGAATTCGTAACCTCGCCTCTCCGTCACTCCGTGTCAATGGCTTCAACGGCTGTAATAGGAACCAGGGACAGGAGTTAGGGATTTCAAATCGTCAAAGCAGTCGTCAATTTTTTGTGATGTTGTATACCTTTAGAATTAGCTTACTTGGATTAACTTTTACACGTAGGAAGCCAGGGGGGCATTTTTTCAGGTAACCGGTATCTTACCGGCTAATAATTCAAATTGGGCGTTTAAAGAAAGTTGAGGTGTTCAATTGGGTGATATTATGGTACGAGGGCTTAATCGCTTTTTTTGGTATAGTAGGAGGGCCTATCTAATAGTTTTCCCATGCATAATAATGTATAGCTTATTTGGATTTCAATGTCCCAAAAAACTATTTTGAGAACTACAAAAACAGTTTTTTGCACTTCGTATTATTTATTTAATGTAATATTTGGTGGTCAGGTTTTGTATCCCTTCTTTTAATGCCTATCTTTATCCCTCTACATGTGCTTTGCTTAAAAAATCTACTGAAGTTTGTAGGTTTCAGATTTGAAGTCACAAGATGATGTTAAAATGTTAACTTTGCATATAAGATGCTCGATGAAATGCCTATAAGTTAGAAATAATGGTAAGGATATTACTTGTACACTTTAAATGGACAAAAATATGACTGGTTTTTAGATGACAAAAAAGTGACCTTAAAAATAAAAAAATTCTGCGCAGCATTCTAAGAAGTCCTGTTACTCCCGTCGTCCTCTGCAGAATATGCGCTACCCAAGAAGCCGGCGACGAAGATGGCACCAACCCTTGCTACAAAGATGGCGACCATCGATTCTCGGTCAATCCCTCTCCTTTCTTATGCAATGGAGAGCGACAAAGATGGCGACCAGCAGAGGCTACGAAGTGCGATGGAGGCGTCGGCCGCTCCAATCCCTCTCCTTCCTTCTTGTCCATAATCCACCTCTGCTCGCCCACCTTTGCTGGCCCGCCGTCGCCCCTATCCCAAGGAACAACCGTCCAAGTCCAAAATCCTTCCCGAATGATACCTGATACCTAAAATTGCCAAACAATTTCGAATTATTTAGCACTGATGTTAGATGAAGATGATTCGGGAAACAATGGTGTAAGGTGAATTACAATGAAGAGAAACAAAATCAACAACACCTTGGAGCGTGAAGGTGCGGAACATGGAGAGGATGAGTTGGTGGGAGCTTTGGCCGAAGATTCATTATCAACGCCTTTGTTTTCGGCAGCATTTGGTGGAGATTTGTTGTTGCGAAGCACGAAGAATCCGGAAAGAGTCGCAGAGAGGAAGATGAGAATGATTCTGAGAGGACACATTCCTCTTTCTCTCAGGATAATGGGGCGGGGACAGGGCTTGTGGGGGTCGGGTGTGACTAGACTGATGGGGTGTGGCAGGGCTGGAGTGATGAGTGCAGGTCTGGGTGATAAGGGCTGGATTATAAGGGCAGGGGTGATGGGGTAGTGCAGGGCTGGGGTGATGGGGTAGTGCAGGCATGCAGGGCAGGGAGGCAGGGTGTTGCGCCGCTGTGGTGGCTGGCTGTGGTGATGATCAGCGACTTAACCAGAGGGGCATCCATTTCACTAAGGTGGGCCGCGCAGATAAACGCAAACAATCACAGTGACATGTTTCACGACGTCAGGGACACGGGCGGTAACTATAGTGACACAAGCGGCAGCCACAGTGACATGAGCAGTGGCCATAGTGACACGAGCGGTGGCTACAGTGACACCGGTGGTGGCGATAGTGACATTAAAATTGGATATAGTGACATAAAAATCTAGCAGTGACATAAAATTTGACAGTGATATAATGTTTTTCCAATTCTATGACTTTCGTAGTCACATTTTTGTCCTTTTATAAAAATGGTCACAGTTTCGGAAATTGACTTTATTTTAGTAATATTCAAGTAAAAAGTCGTATAAGTTACTGTTCTCATTTTTCAAAGCAACTCATATTTTGAAAATTTGAAAGAACTTTGGAGCCTTAAATCAGAGAGGTCAGTATATTATATTATAAGGATTGAGCTCAATTCCTTTATAGTCTTATTGAACAAAAAGCGATATAGGCATATAGGCAAATTTGCAGTTTACCCGAACCACATTGACTCTTGATTCAGAAGTTGCACGTCCTCATCCACTTTTAAATGAGGCTGATCTTGTAAGTTGTATGGACAAGGTAAGAATTAAGGTGCCTTACTATTTGAAAATTGTGATGCACATCTGGTTTCATTTTTTCTATTTTGAGTTTCCAGATGGCTGCTGACCCTTTTGATTTGTTGTTCTACTGATTCTTCATTTTGAACAACTATGCATGATCACATAAAAAACACTTAATCAATTTTATGTGACCAGAGATGCAAACACCCTTTTCTCATCGATTTTGTATTCCTCTAATTTTTTATTTTATTTGCCACAAGTGACTAACTACAACATCTGATCTTTGATGTCATGAGTAAAATGTTTCTTTTTCGGCTCATGAAGAATGGTAACCATGGAGAGGTATATCTTTCTTTTTCATGCTTGGTCATGACCTTGTTCACATTCAAATGTCATATGTAACTGTTGATCTTCAATCTGATATTCTAAATTGACAATTCAGCCATACAAGAAGCAATAGTTTCTAGGCTAGAGATCTTATAGTAAGAAAGGTTCTTATCACATGTAATACATTAGAGTCTAGAATAGAGATCTTATAGTAAGAAAGGTTCTGATCACACGCACATGTAATACATTAGATTTTCTCCTGCCGATGTACCCTAAAGTAAGAAATTATCTGTTAATGCAGTTCTTTATTTTTCTAGTTGATTTTCCATCTCTTATTTCTCTATTCGGTAGTGTGTTAGCATGATCGATATGTAATTCTCGTTAAGAACCTTTTTGCTATAGATAAGCATGGGTACTTTTACCAAAAAAGTCGGTCTTAAACTTGATAATGAAATATCAGATTGTCTTCTAGGGTTTTACCTCTTATTAACGGTATGTGATGCTGAGAATAACTGAATCAGCCTAATATAATATATGATCACTGACATGATGTACTTAACTTTCTCTTTCCTTTTAGTTATGAACCAGGGAAACCATATCTCTATGCAGCGATGGCACACAAGAAATAGCTGAGATTTTGGAGAACTGTTTACAGCAAACGAAAGCTTGCTTTATAGAAGCAAGTCCATGCTCAATTTGTTATCGACATTCTTCCTCTAATATTTCGTTAAGATGATCATTTTGATATTTTTATAGGAATATATATGGGAACAATTTCCTTTTTTTGGGAACAATTTCCTTTAATGAGGGGATAATGTGTGAATATATCAAAACTTTTTTTATTTGGTTGAAGTAGGGTGCTAGTTTCTTGTCCCCTTAAATTGTAAAATCACAATAGGATTATATATGAATACAAATAGTGTACATAGTATACACTGAAGCTAATCGTTTTGAATGTTGCAAACTAGCAATGCTATATCCATTTTATGTATGCCAATGATCAATATTTTTGATAGCAATTTGTTTGATGTAGCAATTTATAATTTATATGCAGAAAGAGTCTCTATCCACCACACTCAACATCCATGCACAAGTGTCCAAACATTTTCTTTTGGAGTTTGTTTTATCCCAAGTACTCTGATCACTCAAAATATGATTTCAAACCATGTGTCCCTAGTAACTTGAAGTCTTTATTGTACAAAAAAAGACAGACATGAAGATGATGATGATATGGATGGAAGGGAATGAAATGAAGAATAATGGTATCATGTGCTAATTCTCCAAACTTGATTCTACCTCGCTGCTAAGCTCTATTGTTGTTGGTAAGCTCTGATACAAGAGTGAAGACATTCAAAGGCATGTTCACCTGGGAAGGGTATCTTTGGGGCATTATGTATGTAGAATATTGTAGATGCATTTTGTTAGTACCCAATTTTGATAGATTTTGATGATGCCACTATACTTAGCACGTGTACATTGTGTCTCAATATTGTTCGTATGTTAGCATTCAAAATTATGTGACAAATAAAATGTACAATTTTTGAGTCAAATTGAATATTACCGGAAAAGTTAAAATGCAATAAGGTAATTTTTATTTACCTTAATAGGATATTTAGATCCTACCGGTATATATCATTTTAGCTCAAAAGTTAACTGAATGTCACATTATTAAAGAAAAGAAGCTCGGAAAATCAAATACATTGAATGTAAATGATTGAAGACAAAAATTGACTAGCCAATTAATACATGGGACCGGAGCATAGGACGCATACATTATTATTAGGAGAAGATTTTCTGAAGAGATGCTTCAGCGGCTGAGATACTCAAGACAAAGAAATCCTCCCAAATAAATGCTCCAGCACAAGAAGATGAATGTACAATTCGTCCTTGCAAGAATTTCAACGTCAGAGATTAATTCATCCTAACCAACGGATGAGATTAATCCAAAGGAGAAGCCTATAAATATAGGCTGAAACAAAAGTTTCTAACCAAGCTTTGAGCATCCAAAGTAGAGAAATACTCCCACAAGCATTCACGAGCTATCTAGCAAAAGAAAAAGTGCTATTCTAAACTTTACTCTCTGCTTGGACTCATGCTTCACTAAACTTCTAGTTTACAAGCTATTCATTGCTAAATCATAGAAGTTTAGTTCCTAGTTGGAGGTTAGAACTTTCTTGTAACATTTCACAAGTTGTTGTAAACACTTAGGAGAACAGTTGTTCGGATCCTAAAGTGTAAGTAGATAGATAGAGTACCTTTTGATCCCCACTAGTTCATTATAGAAAAGTCTAAGGACTGAGTAACTTTGAGTGGTGCTATACTCATTGTGAAAAACCTTCAATCTAGGCCTAAGTGTTGTAATGGCTAGATTGGCACTAAGTGTATTGGGCTTAATACTTTAGTGAAATCCATCTGAAAGATGATGGGACTGGACGTAGGAGGATTACACCACCTCTGAACCAGGATACACTGTGTGTTGATTTACATTCATTCAACAAAGCACACACTTAGCACTTCTTAAAAAAGATTGAAGTTTGCCAGCAGAATCCTAAGCAGTTGTCTTAACTGACCCAACTGCTTATCGTACTGCTTAATTACTTACTTTCTTTGAGATCATTTTCACACAAGGGACGTGCATCAATATCACTAAAAGGCCTGTTCTATCATTTTCCAGAAATTCATTTTCTAAGTATAGCAGGTGCCTCAGCAGTCCCCTGGTGTCCACCCAACTGCTGAGCCCTCTGCTCATATACACTTGTTTCTCTTGAGCATCTCAATATCACCGAACCTTCATAACATTACCAACAAGGAGGTTGACCAAACTGCTCTCTGAAATTCACCATCTAAACTAAGCAGGTACCTCAGCAGTGCCCTCATCACCACTCAACTGCTGAGACCACTGCTCCAGTAAAACTCCTGATTACTTTTACTAAAGCACATTTTCTGAAAGCCCTCATTATTCTCAGCAGCATTCCATCATTACTTTCATCAAACACCCAATATTTCCTGAGCAGTTGCCTTAGCAGTTCCCTGCTATCTAGCCAACTGCCAGACATTTGGGTTCAATCTTCTACCAGGATAGAAAGTATTCACACACTGATTCCATAAAGGGTAAAGACTTCCGCTGTGCATCTATAAATTTTTCAAAAGATTATAGATCAACTCGTTAGAGGGAGAAACGCTATAAAATTGAAAAAGATTTAAAAGTCTATTCACCCCCCCCCCCCCCCCGTCTAGACTTTTACCCTATCCGGGACCATCAAATGGTATCAGAGCGGAGTGTTCCTAGAGTCATTTACTGACTATTTTGAACTAAAGATCCAAAACCACTTCACCTCCCAAATACTTTCTAAAAATGGACAGTCAACTAGCCAAGAATCTCTTGTTCAACTTAAACAAATTTGATGATTGGAAAATCAAGATGAAAGCATATCTCAGTGCTTTACATGATGAAATGCTGGAAGTAATTACTGCTGGACCGATCAGAACAATGAAGGTTAGCACGTCCAAAGCTGATGACCAGGAGGATGTATACATTCCTAACCCAAAATTGGAATGGACATCTGAGGATAGGAAGAGGAATAATCTTGACAACATTGCCAAAGATATTCTCTTTAAATCTATTGATGAATACATATTTCCCAGAATCAGAAAATGTGAAACTGCAAAGTATGTATGGGATGAGCTCACAAAGATCGGAGCTGGTGATGAACAAGAGAAGGACAATAAACTGACCATGGCCCTCAAGAAATTTGAGGACTTCAAGATGCTGCAAAATGATCCATTCATGAGATGGAATCCAGGTTCCTAAAGATTATAGCAGAGGTCTCAGACCTAAGGAAAGATCTATCCCAAAAGGAGATTTCTCTTAAAATCTTGAGAGGCCTACCCTCAAGGTGGGACATGACGG